TAAACAATCCTCCTTCACCCTGCTCGTGGCATAAGGTTACATTTCAACTAATGGTCAGCGGAATAATGAGCCGTATGGGCAAAGGGGTTATAGTAATAATTAAGGAATTAACCAATAGAATAATTAGTTAATTAATCAAATCAGAAAAATTATATATATATACATATACACATACGTATGAAAGGCTGGGATCTACTGATCCTATCTATTCCGATTCATTGTCTGGCGCACTTGTATATAAGAAGAGGGCGCCTAGCAAATACTGGATTATTCGTGATGTTCCCCGATCTTTCTAGAACTCATTATGTGTTACCAGGGTCACGTGACTTCCGCTGTCATAACATTATTATTACAGTTTATGTATGAACTCCAAAACGTATTACGTCATCAACAGCGCATGTATTTTATATACATTATGTTCAGGTTTGTCCTCCCCTCCTCCCTACATCCAGATTTTGTTGAAATGGTGCCACTTAGATGATGTCAACAGAAATCGACCATTAAAAAAGATGGTAGGGGGTAATTAGCATATTTTGGTGAATGGACAATAATATTATGTAAAATCAGATTGGGAATAGGTACAAATGTTATAGGGTATGTGTTTTTATCTCTACCGTTTTGTTGGACACGTCCACTATTAGAATATTCTATCATTTAAACACTGAAACATCACATTTGTCACTATTACAATCGTGTTACGGATTTCACGGTTTGTTTTAACGTGAAACTTTCACCTAACGAAACTGTTGTATGTAACATATATGAATCTTTCAGACTGAATACATAAGTCAGTCTGTTAGATTAAACTGAGAACTATAGTGTAAAATAAGCCATAGAACCATCACTTTGAACACGCTGTTCAGACCAAAGAAATAATGACTTGAAACCATCGTTACATACACTAATGTCACGACTAAAATGTTCTACAAAATCAAACTACACGATAATTAATTTTCATGATGGACTTCTGAAATATTGGAGTAAAATAATGAAATCGTCTTGTTATGTTAAGTTATCAATAGCACAAGTTTGCGACTCGTTCCTTTACACTATCTGTTGTGTTTACTTCGGGGAATCGAACTCCGGACTTGAGCGTTGATACGTTAGTCTGCGATACGTTACATAACTATAAACACGTAATTAAATTATTTATCTACAAACTGCTATGCGCACTGCCATATTGTTGTTGAAGAAATTCCAAAGTTAAATACAATGGAATAACGCAAATTCGATTGTAATCATAATTACATAAACGGTAGCCCCCAGTGGCACAGCGATATGTCTGCGGACTTACAACGCCAGAATCCGGGTTTCGATACCCGTGGTGGGCAGAGCACAGATAGCCCATTGTGTAGCTTTGTGCTTAATTACAAACAACTACAACTACAACATAAACGGTAAATAAGTTTGAAAATATTTAACCCGGTGTATTTTGTGTTGATAAAAGAAAAATGGTCAATCTTGGTTCATGTTATTAAAATATTAAAACAACATAACCAGGCTGTTAGTTCTTGAACTTTAAGCATATTTTATACTCTCCTTCCCCGTGGATCCCCATCGCTCAACGGTAAGTTCCGAGGGCTTATAACACTAAATAAATCGGGTTTCGATTACTACGGCGAGGAGAGTATAGACAGCCCGTTGGCTAGCTTTGCGCTTAGTGACAAAAGAACTTTCATTTTCAAGATCTCTAGAATTTCAAAAACTGATTTTCGGGGTTTCCACCACGGCAGAAATTAATAGACAAAAAGTAATACTTTCATTGAACATACCTATTATATTATTTCTGTAGGGTTCTACTTGTTTGATTATTATAACCATCCCTTTAACTTGTTTTATTATTATAACCATCCCTTTAACTTGTTTTAATATTATAACCATCCCTTTAACCTTGTTTGATGATTATAACCATCCCTTTAACTTGTTTGATGATTATAACCATCTCTTTAACTTGTTTTAATATTATAACCATCCCTTTAACTTGTTTTATTATTATAACCATCCCTTTAACTTGTTTTATTATTATAACCATCCCTTT